CCCCAAAACCCCAAAACCCCAAAACCCCAAAACCCCTAGAATAGATATTTGTTTGGAATATTGAAATAATATCTTGAATTATTATAATTTATCGCAATGAGCAATTTGGTAAGTTGATAATAAAAAATATTTGTATTCCTATCATATTCTATAGATTGACCCTTTGAAATTAAGAACCTATGGCGTGAAAAAGCCACTTGAGGAAAAAATTGATAAGATTCAATAGCTGCCTGACAATTAGATGAGATATTATCCTAAGCTGCACAATGGTAAACAGCATAATGAATTAATCAACAAATATGATCATTATATTAGGAAAACTAGATGAATGGGGTGCAGTCATTAAGCATTAGGTAGAGTAGTTCGAGCATTAGAAACAAATCCAAACTGAAATTGACAACTAGAAAAAGAGAGAGTACTTGTAAGAAAAACTTAGCATATTTATAGAAGGTTCATATCAATATGATGCTATTGAATCACTCAAAATCCATTATATAAGAGAGATCAATTAATGTTAATATTTATAGTGAGCAGTTACAGTGAGATATTGAAATGAGGAATAAATAAAAAGAACTTGAAAAGCTGATGAGAATAAATGAAGCACAACAACAGTAAATTAAGCTTCAAGACGTGAATAATTATCAAGATTAGGTGAAGCAACAAGAGCTCTAACTTAAAAATAGACTCTTGGAACTTAACAAACGCTAAATGGAAGAGTATCAGATGCGATTAAAATTCAATGTATATTTATAGAATGCTTATTTTGTCTTGTATAGAAACAATAAGAATAGATGGCAGCTTAGCAAATGACATAGTAAGCTTTGACAGAGGATTAAAGATTGAGGGAACAGGAATAGCTTAAGAAACAAGATTATGCAAATAGCTTAAAACAAGAGATTAATCAGAGAAATAAATTAAAATAACTCGATGGTCTAATTTAATAGTAATAAACAAGGGAGACATAGCAATTGTTCGAAGAAAATGCACAGAGACAATTGCAAAGTGAGATGGTTTACAAATAGAAATTCCAACAATTTGATTAGAATCTATCAAGAAAGCAGTAGATATTCACTTAGCAGATTGAATAGCCCAAGCATAATTTGCATTAGATGGAGTAGTAAAAATAAGAATAAGCTTAACAATAGTATAATCAGCAGATGGCTGACAGAGATAGATTAAACTAGCAGTCAAGAATGATTGCTTAGAAAGAAGCTCACGACTAATTACTTAAGTAAATTGAGGATAAGGAACGCATGAAAAATCTTGAGAAGTAAATTCATTAGATTGACAGAGAGAAGCTGGTTTAAAACTCATCGTAAATGTCATAATTTGACAAGTAATTGGCAGATGATAAAAGGAAAAAACAGTAGTAGTATCGAGATTTACTTTAAACTTAAATCAAGTATAATAAGGAGATGTAAGGCTATGGCAATATGACTGATGTCGAAAAGAAACTTAATAAGGAGGACTTAATTGCATATAAGCGCTTTGACAATAATTAGTATGCCTTGATTCCTGGCATCAATAACTAAAAGAGATTTATGGACCCTAATTTGCACACTTAGAAAAATAGGACTCTTGATTTAGATGAGCAGCATAAAAGATTACAACAGCATGGGTTTAACAGAGAGTAAGAATAATTTTAACCTTAAAATTCTTTAGTGTTCGGTTTATTGATAGAAGTAACTTTAGTTAGCAAGTTCCAAATAGAAGTATTCAGAGTGTGGTTGAAATACCTGCTGGCAACTCTGGGTCAGTCTACAATCTTAGAAATAGCACTCCGAATGCCATACAAAGCAGTAAGTATTCTGAGATTTTGATGTATTCCTAGATATATTTCCATAACAGTAGTAAATTCAAAGTAGTGTAAGTTTAAGTATGCAAATGCAGGGTCAAGCAAATAATAACTTTTCTTAAAATCATGGGGTATATGGAAACTCTCAGAGCAATAATTAGAATTAGATTTAGAACTAATATAGATCTGGTGGAGTGTTGTAAAAAGCAGCAGCTAATAACATGTTTCTTTGATTTCTTAATTTTACCTTTATTTTCTAACGGGGGTTTTGGGGTTTTGGGGTTTTGGGG